AGGGTTAACTTGCTTTTTCCTTCAAAGAGAGCACAGCATTCCCGCAACCCATTTCATTTAGAAGCAATTAGCCAGATGCCTGACTGAACAAGTAAGCTATAAATTAGATTTGTACTGGGTAGGCAGAGACACCAAATTCCAAAGAAGTTACAAAGAAAGCCAGAGAGAGATAAGGATGTAGGCATTTCCTTGGTAACAGGAGAAGAGAGTTGAGCTCACTTTCTCCTTCTGGAATCCACCTTTTTTCCCCCCTTAGACCATCCCTGCATTTCCTTATATGGACATGAGGGGATCTATGATCTGATTACATTTGTAAATGCCTATAAAATCTTTGTTGTTTGCTTTGCAAGGTGTGGTTCTCCTCAACACCTTGCCATTGTGTTGAATCATCCAGAATGTTTCTTGGCCAATAAAACTTCTGTTAGCTAAAAGCCTCATCTCAAGTTTTATTTGGTTCTTTGAACTTGGGTAAACAAATAAACAAAGGCTAGTGCCTAAAAATAATACAAGCCATTATTTCATAGAGTTTATGATACAAGTCATTATTTCCAAGGCATAGTAACTCAGCTCAAATTGCTAAACCTGAAACATCACTTTATAGCCCAGTGTGTTGTGTGAATTGTGTCACTGTGTCATTTAGTTTCACCTCACCCTGGGTTGCCGTAGATTAGCGTTTCTCAACCTCAGCAACTTTAAGATGCGTGGACTTCAACTCCCACAATTACCCAGCCAGAATTCTGGGCGTTGAAGTCCACACATCTTAAAGTTGCAGAGGTTGAGAAACACTGCTATAGATGAAGAGTTAACTAGACTGGGCCTGAATGAGTGAGTTTTTAAAACTGTTACTATTACTACCATCGTGACTGAAAGTTCCTCTTTCAGTGGAGAGAAGAAGATGAGTCTCCCCTTTGGTTTTATTTCCAATTGCAGAGGAGGAGTATATTAGCTGTCAGCATAGGAATAAATAGGTCTGTATTAAAGACAACCAGCTTTATTGTTGCATAAGCTTTTGTGACCGAGACCTCACTTTGCCAGCGGTATGCAGTATAACTAAAACTGCTACAACTGCCTTCCCCTACCACATTTGTCTCCTTGTTATTCACAGCGCTAGTGTGTGGACACCTTTTTTTTCCCCCTTGTGCCTTCAAGTCAGTCTTGACTCCTGGTGGCTGCCTGGACCAGTCCCTGCAGTTTTCTCAGGAATGTTTTTGGAAGTGGTTTGCCCTTGCCTGCTTTCTGGGGCTGAGAGAGAGGGACTGGCCCAAGGTCACCCAGCTGGCTTCATGCCTAAGGCAGGACTAGAACTCACCATCTCCCAGTTTCCAGCCTGGTGCCCGAACCACTACACCACACTGGCTCTCGCTGCACCAACATACCCCAGCCATTTTCAAATATAAATCAAACCACATAACAAGGAAACATCTCCTAACAGGCAGGATTCAATGGCTGCATCTGGGTAGTTCTGAACAGCAAACCTAAAGTGCCTCCAAAGAAACTACAGCGGTCACCCAACTAATGTCACGTTGTAATGACTTGACTCTTCTGTGTCATCTTTGCATGCAAAGTGAGAGTGCAAAGCTTCATAGCTGTCTGCAACAACAAAAACAAAATTGAAAATAAGCTTGAACGGTTTACTTTTTAGTTCTTGCTTCACATCTATTTACTGATAATTAAGACAATAGCAACAATGTACTAAGTCAATTTGGGCTGTTTATTCATAAAGTATGAGCAAATACAAACATTGTTTACTTTGCCATTCTGAACAGGAATGGATTTTTTGTGGGTTGGGGAAGATGAACATTTCTAGTTAAAAAGTCAACTTCTCAATTTCCATTAAACAATGAAAAAAATCATTGATCTGTGAAAAATCAAGTTCTTGTTAAAATCTGCTGCTCTCTTTGGGAAGGGTTTTCCTTTAACTCTATCAGGAAAGCCTAGTGCTGCCATTTTCTGTTTTTTCTTTTTTGTTTTATTCTAAATTTATTTTTAGACATTCAGCAGTAAATATATAACATTTCTGTTATAAATATATAACAATATATTTACCAGTGTTTGAATAAGAGGATTTCATGGCGTTTATAGTTTGCATGGGTAAGAAAATTTCACATTCAGTGTGAGTAATGATTACACAGATTAAACTCTGAATGATCTTTTTGTCACAATAGATTTCATAATGCTAGGAAATTACAGTCCTAAATTATGCTTTGAAAAGGACTCAAATCATTCCCGCTTCTTATATAGATCTTAATTTAATGCATCATTCTCTAAAAAAAATAATAAGGCAATAGGTATACATGTGTATCTCAGATGTGGGTGAGTCATGGAAATACATGTTCTCCCTTGGAATGACATGTCCTTCTCCGAGTTTTTTTTCAAATCACGTGAGAGTAGGCATCTTACTTAAGAACAATATGCTTCGAATGAACTCCCCACAGTCAGTTCAGGATCTACCTCTGAAACATGCAGTCTCTAGACCAGTGGGCAGTTCAGAGTGGTGCAGCAACAGTTCAGCAAAGGAGACCGTACTTCCTTGAGTTAGAGAAGACACAGCACAAATGACCCACATTGCATTTTGGTTCCCTGGCAGAGACAGACAGCAGAGTAGTACATGGTTGGCATAAAACTGTGATGAAGCTTTGTTGCTTTATCAGTGTAAACATGCTCTGTATTCCTATCATGATGGAAGAAGACAACACTGAAGAAAACCACAGGAACACAGAGAGACTGTTGAAGGACAATCGTGTAATAGGCTGACCAGCTCTTCCTTCTCTGACCCACTGGACCCGTTGGCTCTAATTCAGAACCTGGAATGTTTTCCAAGATGTGCACTCACAGCCTCCTGTAAATATGGCTTCCTTGAAAGAATGGCAGCATCAGGAGCTGTTAATTCCATTTAAATGAATTAGCTCTTCTGGGAAGAAAGTTTCTATAGCTGCCTGTAAGGAATTGCTGAACCAGAGTGGGTAATAGCAAATTGCCAAATCTCTGAAACCTTACCTTACCTATTAAAAGCTAATGTAATAAGATAATGATCCATAATGAAACACATATAGCAATAATTTCTCACACCCGAAAGATCACAGAAGTTAATTATGAAAATACAAAGGTGTTAATAGACTGTCCTATCCAAATATGAAAATTCACTCCCTCTTCCAATCCTCTCTAAAGATAATGAAGGAAACAAACTATTAAGTAAAGATCAGAATTACTGAAAACTTTCAAATCTCACTTCTAAAAATCTGAAATGGCTGCGGTGCTCCCTTCAGCCTATCACTAGGACTCAGTACAACTCTTTGAAATAACTTCTAGTTATAACATGTTTTAATAACTAGTTTTCACAGCTGCTTGGTTAGATTTTGCAGATGTTACTTAAAGTCACAGAAATAGATGGCTGAAATAACAAGTGTAAGAAATGGGAAGGCATTGATTTATTTGGCTTATATTCTAGTGTTTTTTAATAGACTTTGTGAACATCTCCTTTATGCTTGACCATAAGAAAATTAAGATCCAATTCCCAGAAGCTTGCATTTAATTAAATTAAATTAAATAATTAATTTAATTTAATTTAATTTAATTTCCCTTCACATCGTTCCCTGGTGTTGCATAAACTTGATTAAGGACTTGCCTGAGATTCCAAAGCAGCTTCCTGGGCAGTACCGAAGAATGATCGGGGAGGCATGGGAAGGTTCTGGGTGATTTTTCTTCCCATGTGGCAAGAGATGCATCACATGTTGAAGTACACCTCAAAACCCGTGGAACTGTTGCCACATCAAAAGTTGTCAGTCAGAGGAACTGGAGCTTTGTTCCTTTCAGGGAGAACCTTGCTGGCAAAATGCTTGAAATGCCCTCTGTCCCGGTATTACAGTCAGCACCTAGGAAAGCAAGTATTTAGACAATCCCCCCACAATGGAATGGGCTGATCCCAAGAACACCAGCAGCCTGTGTCTAAAGCACAACGGAATCAGAGATAGGAGAGTATTAGTGTCAATAAGGAGCATTACTGTGGATTAGAAACAAGGGTGCTGCATGGTAATAACTCTGATTACCGTTCAGCCCCTGCTTCCCTCCATTTTCCTTTTTTCAGGAGCATATGCAACTGATTTAAGAACAGTTGTTCCTACTTTTGAAAGAGTACCATTCTTCACTTTTGGGTCCCTGGAAAGAAAGAATTGCAATAGAGTATCTAAAAATATCCCTGCCCTGAAACATGCCATGATTTCTGGTATCTGAAGAAAACATATGTCAGAAGAACGAAGGTCTACTCTTTAAAGTAGTTGAAAAATCCACTTGGATTACATCATGGCAAAAAGTAAAAATAAAGCAAAATAACAGGAAAAGGAATACTTAATTCCCTGCAAAATGAATTACACTTTGCAAAAAATGGAACTCTGAAACAATGCTTTACTCTGGTCTTGATCCAACAATTACTTACAGACCTCAAGGGTTAATTAGTTAATAGCAAGTGTCCCAATTATTACAGATCTGCACAAGCAGCAGCTTCTGCTGGTGAAATTTACAAAGTCTGCTCTCACAGGAATTTGACATACCTTCCTACAAGGGCCTAGTTTGGGTTAGAAGCCTGTAGCAGTTTGACTGCCCAATCTCTCCATCATGAGCAAATGGAGGGATCCATAGCAGACATCCTATCTAAATCACTAGAATCTGCCCCATGCACTCAGCCAGGGTTTTTCACAGTTTAGGCACTGATGCTTGTTTTATGACTTCTGATTCGGTAAGGTAGTATGAGATGCTGGTATCAGCACTGGACCATTTTCTCACTTAAAACAGCCTCCTGAGTCATTTTAGAGCCACTGACCAGTCTGTGTTTCTTGCTTGGATGAAGGGCCTGGACTGTGCCACCTCTCAGACAATTCTTCCAATAGCTATTATAAAGGTACTACCAGCAGCTGCCCGTAATGTGTTGAATACTAGTCAACCTGAATTGGAAACCAATGGCTTAAAGCATAGTCAACCCAGCAACAGCAGACAGATAAGAGTTCATGTAGGAACTGGCTTATATTCTTATCGCATGCTCTATATTGCGGCCATCTCCACTGCTTAGCACCAAGAGTTTATACATTAGATGATGAGAAAGTATCAGTAACAAAAGACTCATCTAGCCCAAGATGACGTGGCTTCTGCATCGGTCTAACGCAGCATACAAGATAACCTTTCAAGGCTGGACTGGATTGTTTCAGAATGCTACAGACCCCAGTTTACTTTAATTGGAGCAGAATTATTTTCTGTCTTGCTCCATCACTGGTGAACAATGGCAGCTACTGATGTACATTGTATTTCTTTCTTTTTTTAAAGTAGTACTGACTGGAAGACACTAAAGGACTTTGCCATAGGCTTTCTGGGTTAGGCTACACTATGGAGACATTCTTTAGAGACAAACTGAAATCAATACTCTTTTCTTTGTTCAAGTGAATAAAAAATTATAAAAAATAAAATCAGCATTAGCACAAAGCTTGGTAATTTCAACAAGGGCAGAGGGCCATCAGTCCAACAGTGTCTTAAGAACCTCCTGGAATCAAAGCTAGAAGTAGTTCTATCAGAATCTTCCATGGCTCTTGCTTCACTCTCTTCATGTTCTCCAGAAGAATAAATCATCTTTTGTGTATCCAAAGCCCATGCTTCATGTATCCAAACTTAAAGTCTTACTACATTGCTTAGAAATGTTTCAAAACATTTCTCTTGTGTGAAGTTATCTCATATTTGTTTTATAAATCTGACAGGACTTTTTCCATTAAAGGTTGCATATATTTCACCATGTCACAGAAAATGCTGATGATACTGATTGATCCTGAAGCTTAAAAGCCAAACTCTTGAATATGGTGTTCCACAAGTCTCTCTGATGGATGATGTTCCTAATACTATTAACCTGTAGGCATATGAAGAATAAGTCTCAGCGCTTTGCTAGAATTTCTCTTCCAATGTCCACAGAACTTCTGAAACTGTACTGGGTAGTCATATCATTCCACACAAATTTAGCACATTAGGGTTGGTTCCAGGATTATCTTGGTATCAGACACAAAGGAACAACTCACACTGTGATATCCATACCAGTATCTGCTATCTCTAGCTGAAGACTCCTCAAATATCCTAGACCAGATTACCCATTATCCATAAGCAGAAGGTCCACTTAAGGAGATGTGCTACTTGAAAGTAAGACCACCAATAAGAGAGAAAATAAAAGGCCCACTTATAATATTTACATCTATAGACTGGGCCAATATTTGGTCCATAAACTCAATTTTAAAAATAAAAATCATATAGGAAGTAATCCAGTTCTTGGGCAAATCTGTCCATCATCAGCTATTAGTAAAGGTCCTTCCAGGAGAGGCCTCAGGCCTGTAATCATATTTATTCAGTGTGCTGGGATAATAGGTTGTTGTGTACACATTTGTTTGTTGCAAAGGATAGAAGTTGGTCCTGTCATCTGGTATTAAATTGTTCTTGTTCAGTGTCTGTGAAAGAAGAACAAAATAATTTTAGATAATAGTCTCATCCTACCTTTCTCAGTGTTAGAATTCTTGTCTCTTCTGTTCTCTAGTACCACTTTCAGCTGTAAACTTGCTTCTAGCTAAGCTGTGTCTACAGTTATTCTGGGTTTCTCTGTACAAACTTTAAGTTGGTTGGGATACGATGCCTCTGCCTCTGGAGAAATTGAGCCCTGCCACTACTATAAAACCAAGACCCACAGATGTTTTCATATTTGGGGGCTGATTCTCTGCCATTACTTTGTAAACCGTTGAAGATGATAAATAGAGAAATTGGGGAATTCCAATCCAATACCTAAATCTGGCTCTGAATAAGTATCTGTTTCTCACCTGCCCCCTCCTTAAAACTTAATATACATTGCTACCCTCTTTCCCTCAGAAAAACACACGAGCAATTAATTTTTCATCCTGAACAGTACTTGATCATAAGAACAGCACAATCAAGGACAAAATTTAAATTCAAGATTCAAAAATACAATTTTTAAATTACTAAATACAAAACAAGTAGAAATGAAAAAGTTTAAATGATGTTGAATTACATTTACATAGAAACATTATGGGTGGGGTAAAGGGAGTTAGGATTAGTTGGAAATAGGCCAAACCTTATCTAAGCTATGGACCAGAGTACTCTCCCGAGTTTAGAGAGTTTTCCACAAAATTCTAGCACAAAAGCCAAATTATAATCTTCTATTTACAATCCCACTGTGGCAGGAGCACACCTGTCCTCAAACCATCCAGTGGTGACTGCCAAATTCTTCAAGCTAGTATATTTTACTCCTTCCTGGTTGCTGGCATTTGTGCTTCACTCCACCTCTCTTCAGATAATACAGCAGAGATCCAGATCAGGGTGTAAGACCCATTTCAGTGTTGTAGAGGGATTGGAAAACTTTTTGGGTACTCAGGCATATTTAGAATTTGGAGGTCACCGGGTGGGCAATCTTACAAAATGGCTGCAAAACTAGGCATGGAAAGCTACAAAGCACTCATTTATCACAACCAGTTAACCTTTTCCTTTTTTCTCTGCTGCTTGCATCCCCCCTGCAACCCAAAGTGGCTACAAGCCCACACTTCATAGCAGACATCCTATCAATCAATAAAGTGGCTGAACCAGTGAAGGGCTGCTCTGCATGATAATATTCTGCATGAGCGCGACAAAGCCAAACACTCAAGCCTTTAAGTAGCAGCATCCACGGATCTTAAAAATGTGACAAGTCTACCTGGCTTGCTGCAGCTGCCATAAGGGTAATGACATCTCTGCAATATGTATCACCGCTCTGCCAGAGTAATTTTGCTGCATGCAAACCACACCTTCCTAGCATGGCTGACTGCTCAGTGAATTAAAGGGAGTCGGGGGAAGGCACTAATCACATCCACTAAGCTGTACTGCTAAATCCTTGCTTTCCCTCCCTAGCCGACATGATACAACCCCAAAGCCCATGGAAGGGATACTTAGCGTTGCAAGATGACAGCATAGAAAGAACGCAGCTTCCCTCCCCCAGGGATTTTTCCACCCTCTACCAAACCTTTTCCTTTTCAGATCAGCCTCTGCCCCTTGACAACATGTGCTTTGCCACTTCATCTGTCAATGCTTTCTAAATGGGGGAAAGCCTTTGCTCCAAATACAACTCATGAGTAACGAAACTGTAGGTTTCAGTCTGGGTTGCTTAGAGGGCAGTGCAAAGATAGTGCCAAATCCCAAATGGCTGCAATTCGTCAGCTTTTGACTAGTGGCCCAACAGGGCACAGACTCCCTCTTGATGCCTGCGTAGGTCATCCAGGCAGAAGGGGAGCCTACCAAAGAGAGACCACTGCTTCTGTTACCCCACACACAGGCATAAAGAAAGGAGAAAGAAAAAAGCCAGTGAGAATGGGAAGAGCAAGCTAAAAGATAGGAGTGTCATCCTATACATTCTAAGAAATGGAAGGACAAAACAAATATCTACAAATATGTGCCAAGCTCATTCACATAGTTCTGGAAATGGAAAGCCTGCTTTGCTATCTCAACCATGCAAAATGAAAGGGAGAAAATGTTATTTTCAGGAGCAGCCAAAATGACTATCTGCAAGGAAACAAGACATTGTCAGGCAATGTTTGAAACATCGCATCCTCTCTCTACTTTCATTTCTCATTTCACAGCTGAAAGATGCACTGATTTTCTTCCTCCTAAGATTTCAACTTCCCCCCAAAGGTCTTCTTATTGGAAGAAATATACAAACAAAAAACAGAGGATGTTTTCCAGTCCATGGCACTTATGCTTGGCTACAGCAAAATCTCTCTCAAGAGTGAATGAAGTGCCAGGGTTCATACTGTGCTAACCTGATGAAAACAGGTCTCATCTTGTTAATGACGGGCAGGCTACCTTACAGAGATGTCAACATTCTTCCTATGCCTAAGGACTGCATTTCCATGAAAGTCATAAGCCTGGATTTCACAGACAACCCTTTTTCTGCCTTCATCTTGCTTGATTCAGAATCGCTGACATTTCCTTTGCTTAAATCTTCATCGATTGCATTCATTCATTACATAGCCCAGCTCTTTTTTTCTAAATATGTGGCTGGCACCAGGGGCATTCGTAAACCATGGAAATGACTAGTGTCTTCCTTGAGTTGCTTCTTAATTGAATTGTCTGGCTATCTGGCCAATCTCCTTAAAGTCCTAGAGAATGATTAATTTTTTCTTTACAAATTCTGTGCAATTCCAAGAATGTTCCATATATGGCCAGCACTAATGTGTGTGATTTTCTTTTTAACAGTGATGTATCCATTGCATGACCCCTTTTTTATATCCTCTATAAACTAGCAACCATGCCTAAATTATATGGTGTGTAAAAAATTACTTGCATTGAATATTTCAAATTTAGCTAATACACATTTAACTGCCTTCAGAGTACGTTAGAGTTGTGCTTCACACAGAAAGCCAACCTTTTCCTGCATCCTAGACTGTGGAAAGTCAACATTTTGGATGTGAGCAAACTGTACCCTCCCCTTAATTTTTTCCAGCAACTGATACTCAAACTGAGGTTGCCTCTGACACTAAATATAAGATCTAAGCACAGTGACTCAGGTTTAAGATTCATTCATTGTTCTGATCTCTTTTCAATCGTTTATTTCAGTTTAAGTTATGCTGCATAGCCATTTTATGTAGAGAAAACAGAGACAGGCAAAATGTTTCAAATCATAAATGCCCCTTCCTTGGCACAACATACCTATTTTGAGTGTGAAACATGCTGCTTCAAAACACTTCTAACATGATCAAAGTAGTCCATCTCTCCCATGAAATAGCTGCTTCGCACTCCAAATGGGGAGCTTTGAATTGACAGTGGGGTGTTTTGAAAGGAGATTACCTGCTTGAGTCTTCTTGGAAGCGTATGACTAACCCTTCTTAGATAGACATTATGGATTAGATGGATCCTAGGCTTGGGGAAGCACTGCTCATTCCTATTTTTATAGAAGTATCTTGTACTCTCAGTAGAAGTCACTCTAACTTACTACAGCCTACTTTAAGTGAGTAAATAAGTTTATCGTTGTAACCACAGGTCATAGCATAAGAACGCCATAAAATAAAATAAAATAAAATAAAATAAAATAAAATAAAATAAAATAGTGAAATTATAAAATAGAGTAGAAGCATTAGATGTAAAAAGGCTACAACAGAAGAAAGCCAAAGCTGCAACTAAGAGCTTAAGTATTTCTTTCTAAGTTTAAATGACAGAGGAGCAAAAGTAGTAGCTTGATTGCTGACAGCTGGGAACATATCTGCAAGAAGACAGTTCAATTTTTCAAGGTCAGAGCCCCTGAGTTCATCTGCCAGTAGTAATTTGGCCCTGACCTCATTGTAAATGGGGTAGTGGAGGACATAATGGATAACGTCCTCCACTTGACTAACGCCACAAGGACAGAAGCGTTGTTTGACAGGGAACTTACAAAATTTCCCTTTGAGACAGGTGGAGAGTATGGTCTACAGGCAAAAGGACGCTAAAGCCCTTCTCAGTGAAGCACTGGTTATGTTAACCAGGTACTGGGAGAGGCTTCCATATTTTTATAGTGATGATACCAAGATGAAAATTTGGATGACTGCATTACAGCGGCATCTTTATTTAGCATCCCTTTCAAAAAGCCAATCTCTAATATTTCCCCTATTCCAAGATCTAAGTTCTCCCAAAGGTGGTAGGGAATACATTTGTAGAATGAGCGACAAAAGTTTAGTCCATTGATTCCCAGCTGTGTAATGGAGAAAACAGTTTGGCAAGATGGGATTCTTGAAGGCTTTCTCGTTTCTTACAGTGCCCCAGCAATGCAAGATGTATTCTAACAGTGACGGAAGACAGCCCTACCTTCATCCTTAAACAGGCAGTGGGGGTACCCTGGGGGAGGCCCAGGATCTTCCTTGTGAAGTTGTTTTGGACTACTTCCAATTGGACGATGATCTTCTCATCCCACCCCCAAATCTCAGCCTCATACAGCATCTGGGCTATCACCTTGGTTTGGAATATTTTAAGTGCAGGGGCTACCATTTCCCCTCCTTTAGAATTTAAAAAAAAAAGTCAGAATAGCACCTACTGTATGCTGGGCAATTGTCAAGCCAGTAGATAAGTGTGCTTTCCATAAAAGGGACTTATGAAAGGTGATGCTCAGGTACTTAAAAGAGGGACATTGCTCTATTTGTTGGGCATTAATTGTCCATCTGTGTTTAATATTACTTTGCCAAAAACTACTGCTTTTATTATAATTTATCTTAAGTTTTTCCCCTTTCACAGTAAGCAGCTAGTCTGGCCAGTAATCTAAAGCCAGTCTCAGTTCAGGAAATAAGAGCCATGTCATCTGCATACATTAACACTTAAATTTTCGGTCCATGAGAGCAAGGGAAGAGTGAGGGGAGAGGAAACTTTGTGACTTCATGGCCACTACAATATCATGAATACAGAAGTTAAATAAGAAGGGAGCAAGTAAACAGCCCCATTTACTGTT